AAAAAAAAAAAGTGTGAAACAAGGTAATTGACTTTTTTGAGGTAATATTGATTTATATTATTGTGCATTTTGGAACTACAGGATCTCCCCACTTCCACTGTTGTTAACCAAAGCAATCCCACCAGTAGCCGTCCAAAGTAAGCACCCCTAGTAAGCACTCATAGTCAGCACTTATAGTAACCATCGTAATCCATTGTGTACTCGTCAATTCTCCTTTCTCTCCCCCTTTGAATGTCTCAGTTCTATAGTCTGCTTTCAAAGATTTGCATTTGCTTTATCTGACCTTTTCACTGGCTTCTCTATATTCCATATGTTAGTGACACCATCAGTATTTGTCCTTCAACTACTGAATTATTTTCTTTTTTATCCTCAAATTAATATTTCATTTTTTAAAAAAAGTATAACCTTGACATCATTGCATGGTCCCTATAAAATTTCCATCACCAGTTCACTCATGACCCTTTACCATAATCCCTTGTGCTTTTCTCTCCCCCTGTTTTGATACTTTTTTCACACACTGCCTCACAGTGTCTCTTGTTCATAGTTGGCTATTTTGTTTTATTAGTATTACTATTTTCCCTAATTCCTTATTTGGTTCCCCTATACTCCTTCTATAAATGAAACCATTCTGTATTTTTCTTTTTCCTTTTTAGTTTATTCCATTGAGCATAATTCCTTCTAATGCCATCTGTATTTCTGCAAATGGTATGGATTTGTCTTTTTGATCGTTGAATAGTATTTCATTGTGTATATATAACACATCTTCTTGGTCCAGACATCTATTTTTGGGCATTTGGGTGGTTTCCATCTTTTACCTATTGTGAACGATGCTTCAATAAACATAGGGGTGTAGTTGTCTTTTTGAATTAATGATTTTGTGCCCTTTGGTTAGATTCCAATGAGTGGAATTTCTGGGTCATTTGGTAGTTCTATTTTGTTGAGGAAGTTTAGCTATCCACAGTGGGTAGACCAATTTGCATTCCTACTAACAGTGGAGAGTTTCTTTTTCTACATATCCTTACCAACACTTGTTGTTTACTGCTTTTTAAATGTGTATCATTCTCATTGGTGTAAAGTGGTATCTCGTTGTGTTTCTGATTTGCATTTCTTTGATTATAAGTGACAATAATTGTCTGATATATTTTGGTGTTCCTTCATCTGGGGAATCTATGTGGATGAGAGTATTATGACTTCCTCATGCATCAACCTTAATCATAATGTAGTGACCATCTATGTCTCTTTTTATCTTTTCTATTTTGAAATCTACTTTAATCTGATATAAGTATAGCTGTTCTGCCATCGTTTTTGGTTCATCTCATTGTAGGACTTGTTTTCCAGATTTTAAATTTCAATCGATGCTTATATTTTGTAGTTAAATGTGTTTCCTGTAAACAGCATCAGATTTTTTTTTTCATACTGCCTACTACTCTGTGTCTTTTTTTATCAATGAATTTAGTCCATTTACATTTAGAGTTAGTACTGATACACTGGCCTCTGTAGTTGCCATTGTGTTTGCCTTTTTGATTCTATCCCTTACCTAATTTTCTTCCATTTCTTTCCTCTGTTGGTTTTAGCTTTAGGGTTGCTAATAGTAATTTTTGGAGTTGGAGGCTAGTAGTAATGAATTTCTGGAGAAGGTCTTTATTTTTCCTTTGTAGAAAAAGTATTTTGTGAAGTACAGTATTCTTGACTAAAATTTGTTGACATAAAGTTTGCTAAATGTCACTCTATTCTCTTCTTGCCTGTAAAGTTTTTTGGAGAAGTCTGATATCATTTTGATTGGCTTTCCTTTATAGGTCATCTGTTTCTTCATCCTTGTCATTTTCGTTATTTTTCCTTGTCTTGGACTCTTGGAAATTTTACTATTATGTGTCTTGCTGTAATTTTCTTTCCATTGTGCTGTTCTCCTGGCTCTATGGATATCCATTTTAATTTCCTTCATTATTTTTGGGAGATTCTCTTTGATTATCTCCAGTCCCTTGGTCTTCTTAATTACCTATGACTCTTACGTTTCCTTTCCTTATGGTGTCAGATAGTTCTCTAAGTGTTTCTTCATTTTTTTCTTTGTACTTTTCTGTTTCAGTTATTTTTGTCTGTATCTTTGAGAGTACTGATTCATTCTTCCACTTGAATTATTTGATTAGTCACATCTTAAAGCACTGATTCATTCTCCCCTTGACCTATTCTAATTCCATTATTTTTTCCTGCCACCTATCTTCCAGATAGATCAGGACCTGATAGATCTTTCAGAGCTATTAAGATCTCAATTCAGATTCAGATCCTGAATCTCTAGACTATTATTTTAAAGCTTCAATTTCTACCTTGTTCATTGATTTTATTGTTTTCTTTTTTATTTTCCTTCTATTTACTATGGAATTTTTGAAATGCTTGTGATAGGGAGAACAGACCACCCATCTTTTTCTTTTTTTTTTT